TCAGTGGTAGAGCACTTGCATAGCATGCATGATGTTCAGAGTTCAGTTCTCAGTACCATAAAAACAAAACAAAATAAATGAGGAGATAGATTTGCTTAACCTGATTTAAACATTATGCAACAAATACATGTGTTAAAACATCACATAGTACCACATAAATATGTGAATTTTTGTGTTTTGTGTATCAGTTAAAAATAAATTTCAAATTTAAAAATGCAATTAAAAAGAAAAGATAGGCAAGGATAAAGCAAGGGATGGGGTAAATGGAGAGAAAGTAAGGTTCATGTGGTGTCTGAAATACAGTGCTTAGGACAGAAGTAGGTACTTAGCAAATATTTGTTGAGTGAAAGAGGAGATTCTGTGGGGTCAAACCACTGGGTTTCAGGAATGTAATTTCTGGAAAAGCAGAAAATTCTGACTACAAAAGGGAACTTGCATTTCCTGGTAGGGCCAAGTGTGCTAAAATAGGGAGTGGATGCTAGTATAAGAATTAAGGAGGTGAAGAAACTATAGGCCAGGGCATTGGAGGTATCACTGGACAACATGGTACCATTCACCCAGCCACTGTTTTTCTACTGAGAAAAGGAAGCCTACTTGGAGAATGCTAAAGTAGCAGGTATCAAGCAAGCTAGTGGCCAAAAACCAATGTCTTCTATGCCTGTAGGTGGATAGAGCTCCAGGGTTACTAGGATGAAGCAGATGATTATTGACTTGATCACAGAGGTGTAGGTTTTTCTCAGGGCTAGGAGGAAAGTGAAGCTCCATTATAATTTGGAAATAACCAGCTCCATTGAATCCTATGAAGGGAAAAGGAGAGCTTTTGTTCTGCCATAAGCCCATTCTTTTACCCCAGCCCCTTTAGACTATCCCCAGTGCCATCTGTATCTGTGCAAAAATGTTCTACCTACCAGAGTTTTTCTGAGAAGTAAATGAAATGATGGACACACAGATAATTTATAGGTAAATTACTCTGTCCCTAAGAGTGTAGTTAAGTGAATGTTGCCAGATTTGTCATGGGAATCAGAGAAAATGTTCTCCATATGGTCAGTAAGTCATTCCTATGATTGTACATGTCGTATTCTAACAGCTAAAATATTTAATCCAAAATACAAGGATATTCACTACCCTCTTAAGTCTAGTCCCTAGCAAATAGCTCTTGTTCAAATACACCCAACTGGAAACTAACTGAACTTGTTACCTAAACTGCCCTGCATTTTTCTAGTTTTATGCTTTTACTCAATGAGTTCCCCTTGATTAATATGGTTTCTCTTTCTTTCTGATAAATAAAGTCCTTTCAACCATCTAAAACCAAGATTAAGTACCACCTCCTCCATCAAGCTTTCAATCAATTTAGCAGGTTAAGAAGATATCTCTTATTTCTGGAGTTCCATAGGTCATTTGGGAGATATTTTCCTGAATTAAAGAAATTTCCCATTACAAGAGAGTGCAGACTGATCAATGGTATGTGCAAAGCAGAGCCAAGACTCAGGATTATGGTAATGTCAGGAGGAAAAAGGAGAGTTATCTTGGTCCACTTTTTCACTATAACAAAATGCTTTAGATGAGGTAATTTATAAGCAACAGACATGTATTGCTGATAGCTTTGGAGGCTGGGAAGCCTAAGATGAAGACAGCAGCAGATTCTGTGTTTGATAAGAGCCCATTCATCCTAGTTGGTGCCAACTATGTGTCCTCATATAGCAAAAGAGGTAAAGAGAGCTTGCTGGAGCCTCTTTTATAAGGCCATTAATCCTATGCATGAAAATTAGGCCCTCATAACTTAATCATTTCCCAAAGGTCCCACCTATAATAGCATCATGCTATGGATTAGATTCTAACAGTTGAATTTAGGCAGATGTCAACATTCAGACCATATCAGGAAGGAAGGAGGAAGGCAGGCTGATGGAGAGAAGGAAAAATATAAAGGAAAGTAAGGAAGAGACAAAACAAAGAGAAAAGGAAGGAGGGAAGGGGTTAGGACTCACCTGAACTGGTTAAGACTTAGTCTTCCTAAAAGCTGGTAGGAGTAGCTAGGAAAATGGGGAGACTAAGCTCTCACTTGGGATCAGTGACAAATAAGGGAAAGGTTTACTCCAGGAATAGTAATATCACTTCTGCTTCCTCTTCATACTTCCTAGGAAAAAATCACCTTGGAAGATTCATCATCAAAACTTAAGATGAGGGCTAAGGTTATAGCTCAGTGGTAGAGCACTTGCCTCACACATGTGAGGCACTGGGTTCAATTTTCAGCACCATATAATAAATAAATAAAATAAAGATATGTCCATCTACAACTAAAAAAAAGTTTTAAAAAAAACTTAAGATGATTCATTTCAAACACTGGACCATTGACTAGATGGGAATGGTGAGGCATGAGAAAGGGAAAGAATTAAGGTACCTGACCTTGAGGTTGTCTCTGCCTACTAGCAGAACCAACAACTGGAAGAATAGATGGGAGTAGTGTGGGAGAGCTGAGCCACCAATAACATAGGCATTTAACTTTATCAGTTTCTCAGTTCCCTTGCGTAGAAAAGAGGCTGTTTCAACCCTTCCTCTTTGCCTAGTATTTGGTACACTCCTATAATGTTCTCAAATTCAAGTCCTTTAAAATAACTAGAATATCCACATGCTTTTATGAGTCAATCATGTCATGAAGAGACTACCCTGGCTGGGCCCCATTTGAAGGCTGAATTTTCCCAAGGGCCTATAGACTGAGCTGCTGAGTTTGACCAAGGCTCAAAGGCCTTGACTATTGGGACAGGGGGCAGGGTCAGGAGTGGGATCCTGGACAAACCACCCAACAGAAACCCAGATTGAAATGTAGAATGTCTGCCAGGTGTGGTGACACATACCTGCAATCCCAGTGGCTGAGGCAGGAGAATCATGAGTTCAAAGCCAGCTTCAGCAAAAGTGATGCCCTAAGCAACTCAGTGAGACCCTGTCTCTAAATAAAATACAAAATAGGGCTGGGGATGTGGCTCAGTGGTTGAGTGGCTCTGAGTTCAATCCCTGGTACCCATCCCCCCAAAAAGAAATGTAGGATGCCTACTCTGAAGCTCTATGTGTTTACAGTGCTTCAACTCTCACACTCCTTGAAGACAAACTATTGTACCACTCTCCAAAGTACTTTTTAAAAAATAATTTTAGTTGTAGATGGACATAATGACTCTTTATTCTACTTATTTATTTTTATGTGGTGCTGAGGATCTAACCCAGTATTTCACATGTGCTAGGCAAGTGCTCTTACCACTGAGCCACACCCCAGCCCTTTCCAAAGTACTTAAGAATGAAATGGGTCCAGGAGCAGGGACATGTCCAATTTTCCTTCCTTACTTCCTTTCCTTCCTTACTTCCTGAAGTCTCTCAGGATGTAGTGGTACGTGAGAATGAGAGAGGTGGAAGAGGGGAGAGACAAGTCAGTTTAAGTCCCATGTCTTGTTTCCCTTTCCCCTAGTCAGGGGACTATAATATAGGGGGCTGTCAAGGAAGCTACAATGAAGACCTCCAAACATCTAAGGTGCTTCTCATATACCCCTTCATCCTGTGTCCCTTTCACTACTCTTCCACATCCTCACTCACAGTTTTACAGGGGAAATACAATAAGGTTAACAAAATAAAGGTGCTTAGATTTGGGTGAACATCTGTGTTGGTCCAGGACCTGCTTACCTCTGTCCCTGCCCTTCTTCCCATCTCCATATCATGGGAGTGGGAGTCTGAACACTGCATTTCCTAGGCTCCCAAGTCAATCAATTTTGGCTTAATTCAAGCAGTAGGAGGAATAATGAGAGGACAGGAAAAATGGAGAAGCCTGTATACTTATTCTCTGCCTTCTATGCCTCAGGTGGTGGCTCTGCTATGTCTTCTCTATGGTTTCTGCTATCAGCATACTTCTAGTTCTGCTGTGTGAATCCAGCTCCCAGCTCAGGTCACACATCTCCTCCCACTGTGTTTCCATTCTTTACCCACTGCTCTGCCTTGTACCTTAAGGGGACTGACCTCTGAAGTTGGTTCCCAGGAAATTAAATTAATTGATTTCCATTTTCTCCAGGGAAAGAGACATACTAGAGGGCAAGAATGAAGAAAAAGAGAGGGTATTTCTTCTTTTCCTCTGCTGTGCTCAGCCTGTTTTCTCTATGGATCTAGCTTTCATGGACATACCTGTGACACTTTCTACAAGGTGGTCCTTGTCCCTGTCCTCTGGAAATACTGCTCAAGTCTAGGGGTGATATTAGCTTTCTGCTGTCACTAATCTCTGAGTTAATTTTTTATCCTGCCTATCAGCTATGTGACCTATTTATCTTCTGCTTTTAAATCTCTGATTCTCTGTCATAAATATTTGGTTGTTTGTTTTTCCAGTTGATTTTGGGTGGGGGGTACTGGGGATTGAACCCAGGGGTGCTTAAGCCCTGAGCCACAACCCAGTCCTTTTTTTTCTACTTTATTTAGAGACAGGGTCTCACTAAGTTGCTTAGGGCCTTGCTAAGTTGCTGAGGCCAGCTTTGAACTAGCGATCATCCTGCCTCAGCCTCCCAAGTTGCTGGGATTACAGGCATGCGCCACCATGCCTGGCTTCTCAGTTGATCCTGACTCTAAAGTGGACTAGTGGAAATGCAACTTATAATTCAAGGTGACTAAATGGGGGGCACCTTGGTCATTTGCTTGAAAGTATTAAGAGAATGGTGAACAACCCCTGAAAACTTGCCTTGTAGCATACAGAGAAGTGAAGTGAGCCACAGGACTGGGTGAGCTGATGATGTTACCCTTCCACCCACTTGAATTCTTCAGGACCTTTCATCTAGGGCAACAAAGCTCCAAACTCTGTAGAGGGCCTTGGTTGGGTAGGCACAGCCATTGGGTTAGTTTTGTCTTTGGGAGGGATTTTCAGTGGCCAAGACTCCTCTGCCTGGCAAATATCAGACCAGTACCATTCTATCCCATGGCCAATCAGACCCCTTTCTTCAACCGTCCCCCACATACATGTCAGACATAGTAGCCACCAAGACTTTTTGCTGAGGATTTAATCATGGAGGATAATATGGGAGGACAGCTCCAGTTGAGTGGGTTGTTGTGCCCTACAGCTACCTGGGTCCTTAGGTGGTTTTTGGAGGCATCATGAGTTCCTGGAAACATTGCAAGATCATGTTTGGTGTTTGAGGTAGCTAATCAACACGGGGGGAATTTCCAGCTGGTCGATGGCTTGTGGCTGGCAGGTCTGGCGCAGGGCTCTGCGGATAACTAAACGGGCCTGGGATAGGAGTGACCGTGGAGTGGCTACAGCAAGGAGAAACAGGACATGAGAAGCAATTCTCAGTGTAATTCTTCTGGCCAAGCTACATCTCCCTTCCTTGGCTGTTCGAGTTTTAACATCTTCTCCCTTATAAGAAATGTCCCCTTTCCCACCCCCTAATATATGGTATCAGTGGAAATGCACTGAGGCCTAGAGGCCCTGCTCAGGGTCAGAAAAAAGCCATTGCAGAGCCATAACCAGAAATGTAGCATGAGGTTCCCCCCACCATTTCATCTTAGTGACCCTTTCCATAACATTGAATCAGTAACCTCTTCTCCATTGGGCCCTAGGAAAAGGAGGAAAATGGAGTTTTTTTCCAGTTCATCCCAGAGGACTGGTTTGAAGAGTGATTTGGGGCCCTGGGACTACAAGCTAGGAGGTCTATGGGAATGGCCTGCTCACTACTCACCTCGGGCCTGTATCAGCAATGTAACACCTTTATCATCATGAGAGGTCTGGTCCGGAGGGAGAGATGGAAGGTAGACATTAGCACCAAAATCAATTAACAGCTGGATATACTCTGGCGCACAATTATGGTGAAAGCAGATATCAAGGAGGGTGCGGGGTCGTGGAACACGAGCTAGTAGGCCCTTGTCAGTGCAGTTGTAATCAGGATCTGCCCCATAGAGCAAAAGCAGGCGGAAACAGTCCAGGTGTCCATAGACTGCAGCCAAATAGAGAGGGCCAGAACATGAAGCTATATTTGATGCCCACACTGGTAGCTTAGCCTTGACATTGGGCTCTGCACCATGGCCTAGGAGCTCTTGCAGGATGGCAATAGCACCATCACGGGCAGCTGTGAGCACAGGAGAACAATTGTTGTAGATGCTACCTCCAGGACATGCACCAGCTTCTAAAAGCACACGCACACAGTCCAGATGGCCATGACTGACGGCAGTGAAAAGTGGTGTCTGTGCCTTGACGTCCAAACTGTCAACATCAGCGCCATGTGCCAGGAGGACCTGCACACAGCTCAAGTGTCCATAAGAAGCAGCTAAGCGCAAGGGTGTTCCAGGAACACCCCAGCCACTCCTGCTGTTGATGAAACGTTTGTAACGCTCCTGGCGTAGAAGCTGATCCAAGGTATGGGAGTCGTTGTCATACACTGCTTGATTGAGAGCCTGTTTTTCCCCGGTGTTTGTGTCCTCCTCCTCTTTTTCGGGCTGCAGGAGGGAGAAGATCTTGGTGATATCCATGAGGTTCATTTTGGCTGATTGTAACAGGACTACTTTCATTATGAGGAGGAAGACATGCCAGATCTGTGGGTAAAAAAGCGGGGAGAAACTGAGGGTACTTATGAAAAACTGGGAATGTCAATCTCCACTCTAACCTCGTGCTCCCTGTCTTTTATGGTCAGTGTCTCCTGTTTCTCACTCCTACTGCTATTGTCTTATTTTAGGCCCCAGGAATAGTTTTCAAAACAGGTCAGGGCATTTCAGAGCTTGGTTCCTTTGCATATAATTTTTCTGACTGCCCCTCAAACTCCTACTTCTGGGAAGCCTTTCCTGACCTCTTCCTACTCAGGGATTCCAAAAGATAACAACTGGACTCCACCTGTGAATTTGTATACCACACTTTCACTCACTTGTGCTCTATTAATGTATAAGCTCCAGGGCGAGGACCCTGTGTCCATCTTTTATTCCTCCACTCCCAGTAGGGCCTATGTAATGGCTGAGAATTTGGTAGATGCATCTTCCTCAGATCAGAATATGTGGATTAATGAAGTTAGTTATCTGCAGAGCCCTGCGCCAGACTTGGCAGTTGCTAGGCCAATACAGCAGTGCTTTGTTGTGTCATTCCTGAGCTTTCTAACATCAGTCTCGTGAAGCAGACCCTCAGCTCCGCCTTTTGACCTTTTAGACGAAGTTCATTTTCTTCACAACTACTCATACCTGACCAAATCTCCCTCTCCCAAGATTTCTGTAACTTCCTCTCAGACTCAGGTCCCATGCTTCCCAAGTAGAGATGCCCAGAAAATGAAGGTCGAATGATATTTACTGATTAAATAAATGAAGGGGTGGCATTACAATAAACACACTTCAAGTAAAATAAAGGAAAGAAATGGCAGTTGAAGTTTCCAGATCAGGTTCTCTCTGATACATCTAGTTTATTTCCCAGAACCACTGCAATCAAGGAGTCCCTTTGATTGCCAACACTTCCTCAGAACACACTGCATCTCCATCTTTCTGACTAAAGCCTTTACCTATCCTTTCTGCCAAATCCAGCCTGGAGCCTTGACACAACCCTCAACTCTTCTCCCCTTATAGTCCTCAGGCCCCCAAGTTCACTCATGACCCAATGATGGACTCATTTTAACCCCTGATTTACCAGTCCTATTCCTAATTCTCCAAATTCATGTTTACTCACCTCAGTTTGTAATGTCATCAGGGTGAGCTGGTAGATTTTTCAGAGCTCAAATCTCCCTACTCTCCCATACCCCGCAGCCGGGGTCTCAGGGCCTCACATCTCCTTTTATTCACTGTCCACTCCACCCCTCTTTGTTAACTGGGGACCTCAAGTACCCACCTCATAGAAAGAAAATTGTGAGGTGGGTGGGTGGGGTCACTCTCAACTTTAGGCCCCTCCCCACCTGGCTGTATCAACTCCATATATAGTCTGATTATTCATTCTCTGGGTACAATGGGAATAAGACTGTGTTCAGGTGGAATTAGGCTTGTAGCTTAGAATCCCTGGTTCCTAATGTGTAAACTTTGGCAAGTCTCTTCGCTTCTTTGTGTATCATTTTCCTTATCTATAGGATAGTAACAATAGTACATAATTCCTGGAGCTTTTAGAATAAAGAGAACTGCCCATATATTAGATCTTCAAAAGTGACCTTCTTTTCTCTGCACCTTCAATCTCCTTTCTCTGACTTCTCTCCCTCATCTATCTTAGGAAACAAACCTCCAAAACTTCTATAGATCTTTGACTTCTGTAGCTACCTTTCTCTACATTTCTCCCTTCTTTACAGATAAGTAGTATCCAGTTATTTACTGACTACTTTCCTACTCCCTATTCCCTTCTCTATTCTCTGCAGTCTGGCTCTACCTACATTGATCACATATGGAGAAAGCTATTTAAAAGGCCATCTGTATGGCTAAATTCAATGCATGTTTCTCAGATCTTTCTGACATTTTCTGGGACTTCTGTTCTACTGACCACTTCTTCCCACCAACTCAACCCACATTTTTCTGGCTAGCACCCTCTCATTCTGCCTTCCATCACCTGATTTCCAGTCCCCAGAGCTTTAGCGCTTATCTTTACAATGATGATTTAAACCCATCACTCCAATCCACTCCCCACTCCCACCCTGAAACTCTTCATCTCCAGGAATGAATCCACAGAATTTCAAAGGCACTTCAAGTTCAGAAGTATACCACCACCACCACCACCACCACCACCACCACCACCACCAAACTTAATCCACATGTCAGTTCCTCACCATGTACCCAATCAACAAAATATATAACCCCAAAACCCATCCAAGTTTTCTTACCTCTTTGCCCCACTCACATTCAATCCCATTCAGTCTTTTGGATTTTACCTCCTATAGACCTCTATCCATCCATCCCATATCCATCTTCAGTGGGAGGCTTTATCTAGGCCCCTACCATCTTTTGTCACAATAGTTACTATAGTCTTCTAGGTAGTTTCCATTTTTCTCAACATTGTGGCTAACACGATAATTTAAAAATGCAAATCTGGCCTGTACCAATCCTCTGTTTTAAATCCCTTAATGATGCCCACTCTCTTTTAGGGCATAGCCCAAAAGACTTGGCCACACTCATAGATCTTGGCCAAACTCTTCAGCCTCACTTCTTACTACTCTTCTATTTATAATCTGGAATCCAGTGATAAGGGAAGAAAAAGATGGTTCTCCATATACAATGTGCTTCTTTCTGCCACATGCATTTTCTTCTGCTGAGTTACTTCCTACTGAGTGTGTTCTTATAGCACTGTATCAGTCATTATATTGTATTGTAATTGCTGTATAGGTCTGTTTTGTTCCAAGGGTACATGGGGAACCATATGGGATAGTGGAAACCTCTGCTTTCCTGCTTCTATCACAGCTCTACCACTTAGTAACTGTGTGATCTAGGGCAGATCATTTACTCTAGATGTTCCCATTTCTTCATCTCTTAAGGGAGGATAACAGTACCTTTTTGAAGTGTTGTTAGAATTGAATAAGTTAATACAAAATAATTGCTTAGAATAGTATCTGAACATAGTTTTCAATCACTGTTTTTACTATGGTGATGATTTTTACTTAGGTCTTCAGTTTCTATGGCTATGTCTCTCTACTTAATGTTCTTCCTCAGAATTGTAATAGACCTTGTAGGCAATTTAATTTTATTTCTTCAATTGAGAGATGGAAAAATCAAGGTTCAGAGGGGAGCAGGGACATTCACAAGGTCACACAGCTGTTACTGTTGTCTCATTTAAAAAAAATCCAGAACACACCTATAATCTTGTGCTGTTCAACGCTATTTTATGGGGTGGGATAGGTAATATTATCCCTGTTTTCTGGGTGGTTAGAAACTATGGCTAGAGAAGGAAAGAGATTTCCTAGGTAACTTATATTAAGGCAATACCAGAGCCAGAAATATAATTCAGGTCTTCCTGCTTCCCAACCTGTTCTTTATATTGCAATATGAAATGCAAATAAGACTCCTCCTCCTTCTTCAAGCAAAGTTGCATTGCAGTTCCCAGTATCCTCAGATTTTGAGTGTCATGTTGAATTCCAGAGACTTTGGTACTGGAAGTTTCCTTTATGAATTGTTTCTTCTGATAACCAGTTGGGAATCCCTTTTTTATTATTTTATTTTAGGGATTTGGGTCTGGGGAGATGAAAAGAGCAGGGTACAGTGGAAGAAATGATGATGCATTCACCTAGAATGTAACATGAGTCCACAGCAGAGCCCATATAATGAACTCCTAGAGGGAAATCAAACTAGCTGCCTTTATAATGGCACTTGCATAACTATCTGCATTAGATGTAGACAGCTAATATTGCCTGACTTCACCCTGTTCTGGTTTATTAATCAAAGAGTTATAATGTGCCTACTGTATACAAGGAGTCCCTTGCTAAACCCAAAAGTGTAGGAGTTTTGAACCTTTTTTGTTAAATTGGCCCAGGTGAAGTCTGTCGACTCCTTTAACTACGTTTTTTGTGAATAAAAATAAAATATATAGGGTTAAAGGAAATCAAATGCATTAAAATGCTGCCATAAAATATTTTAAAAACTGCATGACATAGTAATTGATGTTATTTATTAACACATTAAATAATGAGATCTAATAATTTCTAAGCGGCAATGTGCATAAATGACATTTCAAGATCTCTGCCACACTGTAATATGATATAAAATGTCTGTGATTTCTTCTGGTGACCAAGTTACAGGAACCGGTAATACTACAGCCATTTACTGCCTATATTTGTCCTTGAAAGAAATGGTAAATTTCAGTTGGAGGTTACTGTGTTAGGAGGCAAAAGGTAATTGTTTGCCCTTTCAAGTCGCTGAACCCTTTGTATTTTATCTAAGGCCCTCTCAGGATCTGTGAATCCATGTAAAAACTCTTACAGGAGAGAGTTTTATTTCTGTAGGACCTAGCACACTTCTCCAAGCATTGGTAGACTATTTTTAAGTTTTACCTTCCTCCACCCACCCTGATAAGCTCTGTTCTTATGCCTTTAAGCCCACTAAACTGCACAGACCCACATACATACAGACTTTCAAACACCATACAAGGACAAAAACCTTCACCCTCTCTGTAGTATGTAACAGAAAATGCCCATATGAAAGTAGGTCCATGTAGACACAAGAGCCTGAGCAGACACACCTTCTTGGGACAGACAAGGCAGAAAGCTGTCATGGTATTCTTCCTCCCTTATGAAGGCTTTTGCCTACAGACCTCCTAAGCACTCCCAGGTCCCAGACTCTAGAAATGGCAGGCTCACAGACATGGGTCTTAGGTTGTGGGTACTCACAAGACTTCGGCCTGAGGCCACACTGAACTGTGTTGCTTCCTCTGTGCCTCTTCGATATACTTGGGCCCTGGTGGACCCTGCATGGGGAGCCCCTACTGCCCTGGGCTAGAGCAGAAGGGGCCCTCTGTTTCCACTGTTAACACCCTGGCAGAAAGGTTAGTAGTTGGTCCCAAGGCTGACTTGCTTCAAGGGGCTAATTTTAGGTTACCCTCCACCCCGCCTCCTGAGGACGTGTTATCTTACCAGTGCCTTTCTGGGAGTGATCCCAGCTAGAGGGGGTGGCCAGCCACAGGGAAATCCTGGAAGAACTGACAGATAGACAGGTGCTTGGGAAGGTTGGGGCTTCTGTTCACAACATGTCCTCACATACTCTCCTGCACCACTCATATTGGCACAGAGGTGAGTTCTATGAGCTATGGGAGTTCCCAGCTTTTCAACAAGAGGCCTGAGAAGGCCCAGCCTCACTTAGTACACCAACCTCTGTGCTGAGCCTCTTTAACTTTTCCTCCAAAGTTAATCTCTTTGCATATCCTTTTCCCCTTCTTTAAGGCCTAGTAACATACTGCCCTCCATTCTTCCCCAGTTCCCTGGAGTGAGAAGGACAGCATGTAGTGGAAGCTTTCATACTGATGTAAGAATTTTTTACAAAGTCTGGGGGTCCATTTTCAGAATATATTAGGTAGACTTAATTGGATCCCAATTTAGCCATTTTAATTATAGCCCATCCCTTTGCCAGCCTCAATTTAAAAATTAGCCAATTGCATAGATTATAGCCCCAAACTCCTCCAACAGGGGTGAAGGACTGCGCTACCTTAGTGATATCAATGGGAGGACTGCCCGGTCAGATGCACTTGCTAATCAGGTTCCAGTTGCAAGACTTTCTGGCAGAAGTAAAAGTTTCCCTTGCCCACACACTTTTGAACAGGGTTTTATTTTTTGCAGCACCTCAGAATTTTTAACAATTTTGGCAGCTGCCATGAGGCTCCATATATTGCCTAGGGGTTGTGGGGAATTCTCCTCCTCAGAGGAAAAGAATCCCACTGTTTCGTTGTGGTTGCCTCAGAACAGAGGCCACCCTGAGGCCCACAAAGCACCCCAAATCTGAAGTGGATCAGATGTGGATAGGCAATTCAGGGAGAGGACCCAGTCAATTACTGCATTGATTCGGTAACATTGGGCATGGAACAAGGTAGGAAAATCTATTCTTGAACTTGGAAGAGAAGAACTCCCTTGGTTGTCAGGACATCCCAGAAATTATATGAGTGTGACTAAGATTTGAGTGCAAAAAACACTAAAAAGAAGCAGTTGAGACTGTATACAGAAACACAAGATCACACCCAAGAAAATGCGGTGGGGGGTATGTAAGAAACAGCTAGTGAGATTGAGCATATAGGGGTCCAGAATATACAAGAAACTTGCAATAAAGTGGGGGTGGGTAGGTTGAGTACAAACGATACATTTTAATTATATGAACATACAAGAAAAAAATGGGGAATAAAAAATTTAGGCCTATGGACAGGGAAGAACAACCAACAGTACCCGTACGTACAAATCTTTTTTTTGTTCCTTTGAGCCCTTTTCATATCTGGGTCATACTGTGAAAATATGTGATAGGCTCTATTTTATTTTTATTTTTTATATACTGGGGATTGAAGCCAGGGGTGCTTAACCACTGAGCCACATCCCCAGCCATTTTTAATATATTTCATTTTGAGACAGGGTCTTGCTAAGTTGCTTAGGGACTCGCTAAGTTGCTGAGGCTGGTTTAGACTCACGTCCTCCTGCCTCAGCCTCCTGAGACTATAAGATAACAGGTGTGTACCACAGCAACCGACAAAGCTCTATTTTAATCTATGTATTGTATGTCGTGTCTATATGTGTGTTTGTGTCTATGTCATGTACATGGTATCAAAATTGGCTTATAGATAAAAGAGTACTCATAAATTTAATGAATGGATCTAAATGCCTTTCAGTTCATGTGACTTAAATAAAACTTCAACAAAGTGCTTGATTTGGCAGCACATATACTAAAATTAGAATGATACAGAGAAGTTTAGCATAGCCTCTGCACAAGGATGACCCACAATTCATGAAATGTTCCATAAAAAAAAGAAAAAAAGAAAAAAACTTTTAAAAAGGGGTCAATTTAAATTGGTAAGTATAAAGATGCATTTGAAATTACTCACCCCCATGTTTTTCTAGGTGACCAGGTTACTGAAAGTTTGTATTTTGCCCTGATACCAATTCAATGGCAGGGACATGCATTTGAGATAGAGGAAAAGGGATTTTTGCTTTGCTGGTGGGAGAGGGGCACAGGAGATCCTGTCCCAGAGGCTGTGATTCTGCCAATCAGGGACAACAAAGGATTTTTAAAGAAGCTATTAAAAGGCTTCCTTACAAGTGTTCCCTGTGAGGGGACTGTGATTCCCTTGTTAATTTGGGAAATGGATATTTCTTAGATCATCTGGCACTATCCCTTAAATTATAATTGCTTGGTGAGTGTGTACTCAGAGACAGATTAATTCAGGCTAGCATGAGGAAAAGGTGTTCCTGTTCCCTGCCCCTAGGTTAGGAAGGAGTATATGGAGAAGAGGAAAAGAAAACCATGTCCATTTAAAAATAAGTCTCAGCTTTGCTGCAGCAGCTCAGGAGACTGAATAAGAGGATTGTAAGTTCAAAGCCAGCTTCAGCAATTTAGTGAGGCCCCTAAGCAACTCAGTGAGACCCTGTCTCTAAATAAAATATAAAAGAAGGGCTGGGGTTGTGGCTCACTGGTTAAGTGCCCCTGGCTTCAATCCCCAGTAAAAAAACAAACCAACCAACAAACAAAAAACCCCAACTCAGTGGCACAGCAGCAATAGCTATATTCAAAGCATGAGGTAGACCACTGTTACAGCCAGCCCGTTACTGTGTCAGTTTCTATAAAATGTTTAAAGTAGTTTTTCTTTGGCAGGAATAACTGACTTAAAGTGTTAACTATACTTTTTTGATACTTTGGTTTTCATGGGTAACCTAAATTAGAAATGGGTAAAATAGTTTTAACATAAATGGGATTAATTTTCTTAAATGTGTGTGTTAGAGGAGGCATCTGATTAATTTGCAAAGTTAAAATTCTAAAACATCAATTAAATATAAATTCAAGTACTCTTGACTTCTTGAATTCCATAAGGTAACATATACTTGGGTCTATTAAATGTGTTTTTATAAATTGGCAATTTAAAAAAAAGAGGTTTAAGATTGCTTATTTATGGGTCTTAACCTAAAAGCACAGTTACTAAGAGTTAATATTCTATCAGGTGTAATTCTATATGTGTACAAAAAGTTTCATCTGTGTTTTTATTAAAGTACTGTAAAGAGTAAAGTATCTCATTAAAAAGGAGTAAAGGTATGTTTAAATTAGAGAAGATGGAATTCCTGTGTTGCAAGTGGGGAAACTGGTGGAAGGCTTTTCCTCTTGGGTATACTAGTTTGGGGACTTATGGCTTCTGGATAAAGGCATTGATCACATCCTGAATAGACATTAAAAAGTGTTGGGGCTAATTGTTGGAATCTATATTGTACAAGTGTTGGAAGGACACCAAGGCTATTGGCTTGGCCCATGACTTTTGAATTAGCTGTATGCTTTTGGTTCTTGAATCTGAATTTTTCTATAGCTGTCATTGGGTCCATCCTCACTTTCATTTTCTCACCCCTCTATGGCAAAGGAATTGATTAGAATGTTTAACCTCACAGGATGGCCTTTACTTGAGATGTAATCCCTGTAATTTGGGAGGTTGAGGCAGGATAATAGCAAATTCCAGGCCAGACTAGGCAATTTAGCAAGACAGTCTCAAAATTAAAAAAAAAGTTAAAAAGGACTGGGGATGTACTCAGTGGTAAAGCATGCCACAGTTCAATTTCTAATACAAACAAAACAATATAGGAAAAATAGGCATGGAAAAAATTTTAATTCACATATGCAAAAAATGCCATAACTAAAAGGTACCCTGGATGCCTATGGTTATTTTGTATTCATGTCAATCTCCCAAAGGAGTTCAGATGTATTTCAGGGTTCTGTGTTTCTAAATCCCATCAAAACAATTATAACATGAATTTTCCTGCAAATGGATTGTACTCTATACAGAGCACTGACCCCAAGACATGAAACAGGAATATCAGTTTGAGCCAGTAGCCTATAGCTGTTCATTATCAGAGACCTTATGCAAGGTTGATTAGCCATCAATAAATAAGTACTTCTATTTCCCTTTATAATTAATCACCAAGGAAAATTCCAGTCAAGAAAAAATAAAATCTACCAAGGGTGTAGGAGATGTAGAGGGGCTTAAGCAATCAGGACACGATGACAAGTGAGGTGGTTACAGGCAGAGCCAGAACAAAGGATAATGGAAAGAGTCTTCTGATGAGGTCAACTTTCTGCTTGACGAAAGTGCTCATAGACACAAGTGGGGGACCCAGTCAGACACTTCCATGCATATGCTCCTAAGCCGGAGACCCAATAGAAAAACTAAAACAGATGCATGGATAGAGGGGGCACCAATCAATAATAGTGAGGAGAAAGTTGACAGAGGAGGAGATAAGGAAAGTAGGAAATTCCAGAGATCTTAAAAAGCAACAGGCCAAAACTCCCTATCAGATTCCCAATTCTGGGGCCACTTCTCTTCATAGAAGTCTATTCTCTGTATCTCTATCACCTTTGCAATAAACCTACTTCTTCTTGTTATCTCTGTGTCCTGATCTTCAATTCTTTTCTGAACAGAGACAATGAACCTAGCACACCTAGATAATAACAAGGGGACCAGAAATTTGATGGGATAAAGCTCTAGTTGCTCTGCTTCCCATGCTTATTCAGTTTTAGAATCTGCACATTGAAAGCAAAGTCCTACATTTCTGAGATATTTGATGGCTTTGACTTGACGCTCTATACAAGAAGCAGCACATATCATTCCTTGCTGGGCAACTAATTTAGTCCTTCTTTCTGCTAATCTCAGATCTTCATCTACAATGTATCCCAGAGGTCTAATTTTATCTTCTGCTTATGTTTTGGGCCTCAGAGAATATGGTCATAGCCTTCTTAGGGCTCTGAATCAACTTATCCTATCCTCCATGTCATTGTTTCTCAGGGAAAACAGCTACTTCAAGTATTTCAAGCTTGTATCTGTCTAGTCTACCACACTCATGAGATGATTGGTCATGCAGACTTTTTGAATATTGATGGTGTCCAGAAGCTCACAGGAGGCCTGATGGCTCCTTTCAAATGTGTTGGTGTCCCAGATTGATCGAAGACTCTGAAAAACAGGAATATCAGTTTGAGCCAGTGGCCTATAGCTGTTCATTATCAGAGACCTTATGCAAGGTTGATTAGCCATCAATAAATAAGCTGTTGTAGTACTACAGTTGACAGAATAAGATATTATTCTTGAAAAAATAATTTGCAAGATTGCAGTGTGTTTTTGAGATAATTATAGATGCAAGTGAGATTGTAAAACTAATAGGAATCCCATGACACTTTACCACTCTTGCAGTGCTACAGTATGATATTATAAGTTTGATATTGGCTTAGATATAATCCACACATTTTATTCAGATCTTCCTAGGTTAACTTGTACTTATTTGTGGGTATGAATGTGTGCACATACTTATTTATTCCTACATATTTTATCATGTGTAGTTTCTTATGTGTAAAATATGTATATAGGACAATATACAGATTAGTTCTATCCCAATAAGGATATATCATACTACATTTAATAGCCACATCCACTTCCTTCCTACTACTCCCACCTTGGTCCCTAATCTCTGTAAATGTCTAATTTATTCTCCATTTCTATTATTTTAAAATATATAAATGGAACCATCATAAATAAATTTCACATGTTTTGTCATTAGTTTTTTTAATTAGAGAATTATAATTATACACAGTATTTGGGTTCTTTTTGACACAATTATACATATAAGGATTTCATTCCACCTTTACCTCCCCTTTTCTCCTTCCTCTACTCAACTGACCTTATTTTATCTTCTTTGTTTTTGACTGGTACTTTCTACATATCCATAAACCTGAAATTTCCTTTGGTACATTTATATACATATATAACAGAATTTTTGTTAAATCATTCCATGTTTCTTCCGCTTTCTCTTCCTTCTTCCCTTTGCTTTTCCTCTTCCATTCCAATAGACTTCCCTGTATCTTTTTGATATCTAATCCTTTCCCCCACTACCTTCTTTTCCTTATTTTGCTCTAGCTTCCATATATGAGAGAAACTAGTTGAGTCTTGACTTTGGCTTATTTCACTTAGCATGATTTTCTCCTTTTCTATCCACTTGTGAGGAAATAACATAATTTCATTCTTCTTTATGCCTGAGTAAATATCCATTATGTGTATATACCACATTTTCTTGATCCATTCATCTGTTGACAGGCATCTGGGTTGATTCCATAATTTGGCTATTTTGAGTTTTGCTGCTATAAACATTGAAGTGGCTATATCACTACAGTATGCTGTTTTAGTTCTTTTGGATAAATACTGAGGAATAGATAGTTATAAGTAGCTTTTCACTCAACACCCTAGAGATTCATACAAGTTGTTATGTGTATCAAGTTTGGGTTTACTTTTTATTGCTGAGTGGGATTCATGGTATTTATGTAGCATGATTTGTTTCATTATTGATCCATTGAAGGACACCTGGATTGCATTTAATATTTGGCGATTATGAATAAAGCTGCTATAAATATCTGCTTATATATATTTTCAGTGTACTTATGTATCTTTCAGGCATTACTATCAGAGTAATTCACCCAATTTTACTCTCACATTTGAATATTGTTTTAGCTATTTGAGGGCCTGTGCTTTTTAATATAAATTTTAGAATAACCTTGGCTCTACCTAAAAATTTCTGAGAGGAATGGTTGCATTGTTTTCCCATAGAAGATGCATGATTTTATGTTTCCACCAATGATGTATGAAAAGAAGACCTGGAGTCAATCCCCTGTGGATACTCAATTTAGTTCTCTTTCCACAAATGTATAGTGTTTACCAATTTCATTGAAAATCTTTAATGAAGTGAAAGGAGATAGGTCAGAGAGATAATACATGGAAAAAAAAAAAGAA